TTTAGACAATTGTTGGTGTTATATGGAGAAAATATGCACGGTAAAAACAAAGTTTGGTATTTGTGTTTTGAACTAAAATATAAATTTTCCTTTTAAAGTGACATGTCAATAATTTTTTATTATCCTTATGCTGACTGAAAATGCTATCTAGTGCACAGTAGGTTGTTCTGGAGAAAAATAGGTTACAATGAAAAAAATTGTTTTTTAAAAAAATACAATTTTCAAAAAAGCTATTAAGAAAAGTCAAAAAAGTTTGTCACCCTAATTTTATGAAAGTACATCAAATTTGCAAACAAAAAGTACTTCGGTAACATTTTTCTAAGATGCACCGTTTAGAAGATATTACTGATTTAATATTGTTTTTTTTTTGATAACTTAATAAGTTTTGGCCCTTTTCGGATGTACTCCGTGTTTTTCCAGTTTCAAAAGTATTTTTTTCGGAAAGATTGGAAAATTTTGAGTTAAAATGACACTGACAGCTTAAAGATTCGAGTGAAATTCTCTGCCTTAAAAGTATTTTGAAAAACAAGTTACAAAATCCCACTATCAGGAACAATGATTTCTTCAAATGATTTTTGGTGCGTTGTGCTGAAAACGTGCTAACAAGTATTAGATACAGGTAATCAGATACCAGTTAGCTGTACTACGTACAGTTGGTGATTGTAAACATGGTCTTTGTTGGAACTAGCCCACCATGGCCACGCTGGCCATAACGAGGCTAGCTCCGTCGTTGACCGTTCCTTAATAATAAATAAAAAGAACGCAGTAGTCACCTTCCATCAAACTAGAGGGCTGCCGACTGATACCTCAATCAACAACCGCCGCACTCTTTATTCATTCCAGGTATATACAATTTACAATCTTCTTCAATAACAATATACCTACGCCAGCAAATCTACCTCGCTCCAACTCTCCAAACTCGTACCTGAAGGTTCGACGATACCTGAGCGTTCAACTCTACCTATCTTCCAACAGTCTTTACCCAGCATTCTATGATTTCTACCCGTGAGCTGTATAATAATGTCTGACTCGGTTCTGAATTCATCCAGTATCTACTAGGGAAAACCAAACAGTAAATGCAGAAAGGTTGCTAGTAGCATAGTGATTATAGTAATTTCAGCTCATAATCCTGTGTTTTTGAACGAGATCCAGTGTTGTTTGATAACATAATAATTGTAAAGGAAAGTGTAACACGTTTTGGTGCAAAGGTAAGTTTTAAATACACATTTTAATTATATGTTTTGTGATATTTTCGTACAAAACTAACAATTGGAAAATATTTTCTATGTTACAGATTACAAAATGAGTAAAATAAGATGTATTCGCCCATTCAAAGACATTCAGTGTTCGAAAGAGCTGCGATATCTCACGGATGGTATCATCCAAAAACTAAAATCAATTAGATTTTCCAAGGTATCCACACTGAACACCAAGGATTTTCGTGTTTGTTCGTCTTGCCGTCTACATATTGATTCAAGAGCTCACCTCACCCAAAACGAGGAACAAAGCGTAGCCGGCGGCTCAAGGATGCCAACTGTTCAGACCATACCTGATGTACCTGATTCGCAAAGCTATGAAAGTTTGGTCACGATACCATCAGAGTCAACGCTAAGCACAATTAAATCAAATGAAGACTTCACGATGCCTGTAGACGTCGAAATATTCAACCGAGGAATATCAGCTATTCGTGTTTCGCCTGTAGATTTAGGTAAGGTTAAAAATGTTCACTATCCTGAAAAAAAGTGCGCTGAAATCGTCGAAGGTGTACGAAGAAATCTTTTTAAATTAGACGCTAAAACAGAAAAAGCAAACGAGTTTGATGAAGTCATAGAAAATATGAAAATTAAATTTTTAAATTCAGCCACAAGGCAAGAAAAACTATCAATTTTATCATTGTTGCCAAAATCATGGTCAGTACAAAAAATTGTAGACGAATTTAAAACCAGCAGAAATATGGCATCAGATGCAAGAAAGGAAAGAGATAATGTATTTGATTCATCTCAAGGTTCAAGCTCTGGAAAAGCTTTGAGTAATGAAACAAAAGAACTGGTTTTGAATTTTTTTGAGGACGATGATATAAGCCGTGCAATGCCAGGCCAAAGAGATTTTGTTAGCGTAAAGACAGCAAATAAGAGATTAGCTGTTCAGAAAAGATTGTTAATGATGACATTGAGAGAAGCTTTTAATCGCTTTAATGAAATGTACGTCAATGTAAAAATAGGGTTTTCATCATTTGCAAGCCTCCGGCCAAGGCAATGTAAACTATTGACTATCACAGGAACACATAATGTTTGCGTTTGCACTACGCATGAAAATGTCAATTTAATTCTACATAGCTTAAAAAAATACAATGTCTTGAATGATCTAAAAACATTAACGAATAGATTACTTTGCGAAAATAAGACAACTCATTGCCATCTACGAAGATGTAAAAACTGCCCAGATACCTCAGTTTTAGAAGACAGTTTATTGAAACAACTGGAAGAAATTTGTTGAAAAGCTTTCATTCGAACAATGGGTTACCACTGACAGATGTGATTTAGAAACTATTGTAAAGCAAACCGATGAGTTTGTTTCAGTTTTTCAGCTCAAAATTAGAAAGTTTGATTCCGCATGATTTTGTAAAAACCGAACAATCCAATTTTTTGAAAACTACAAAACAAAACTTGCAAGATGGTGAATTTTTAGCTATTTGTGACTTTTCTGAAAATTACAGCTTCGTTTTGCAGGATGAAGTTCAATCACACCATTGGAACGTGCAACAGGCCACAATCCATCCTTTCGTAATATATTATACTGAAAATATGCAAATTAAACATTTTAGCTTCATTATAATTTCTGAAGAACTAAGACATGATTCAGTCGCTGTCAATTTGTTTATTGATAAAATGATAAACTTTTTACAAATTGATCAAAATAAAAACATAAAAAAAAAATTATTTTATGTCACATGGTGCTGCATCACAGTATAAAAACCGAAAAAACTTTTCTAGCCTTTGTAAATTTAAGTCAAAGTATGGTATTGACGCTGAATGGCATTTCTTCGCAACATCGCACGGAAAAGGTCCATGCGATGCTATTGGAGGTACGATAAAACGCATGGCTACCAGAGCAAGTTTAGCCAAAGAACGCGAACACCCGATAAAGACTGCAAGAGAGTTGTTTAATTGGGCAAACAAACGAAAAGAAGAAGAACTTACAAAGTTGTCATTTTGTTATTCTACTACAGAAGAATACGAAAATATGTCTTTGCAGCTAAATAATCAATATAATAATGCAAAAACAATTCAAGGAACTCTAAAATTCCACTCATTTCTTCCTCTATCACAAAATACAATAAAGGCAAAGCTTTATTCAAACTGTCCTGACAATGATGCCAAAATATTCAATATTGTTAAGAAAGTTGTGTAAACAATAATTTTATAAAAAATACAGGAATAAAAATAAACTGATGATATCCAACATATAATGTTATTTTTTATTGCGCACAATCACCATCCCTGAAAAATAAGCTTAATTCGCTCTTTTGAATCTTGCTAATTGAGGATCTTACATTTGCAGTTCTCAAAAAGGTGTATCTCTAAATCGAGTTGTCTCATCGGTTTGATGTCTGTGGCGATGTTCGGCAATAGAGAGAAAATATGCACAGTATAAACACATCCAGTTTAAATGGATTAAACTGTTAGGCGATATGCAAGAGTTGAATGCACATTTTCAGCACAACGCACCAAAAATCACTTCAGTGCCAACATTTCAAAGGGGCGTTATTGCATTTGTAAACAATGGCTTTAGTCGTCGATTTCTCGTGAATAAAAGCTCACTCATGAAAAATAATGACACCAGCAGGTAGAGGAATGTTTCCTCTATCAGCAAGCAATGTAATTTTGTAGAGGTAAGATTTCATTCGCGAAAAATTGACGGTTAAAGTCATTGTTTACAAAAGCAATTACGCCCCTTTGAAATGTTGGCACTGACTTGAAGAAATCATTGTTCATTGTGGGATTTTGTAACTTGTTTTTCAAAATACTTTTAAGGCAGAGAATTTCACTCGAATCTTTAAGCTGTCAATGTCATTTTAACTCAAAATTTTCCAATCTTTCCGAAAAAAAATACTTTTGAAACTGGAAAAACACGGAGTACATCCGAAAAGGGCCAAAATTTATTAAGTTATCAAAAAAAACAATATTAAATCAGTAATATCTTCTAAACGGTGCATCTTAGAAAAATGTTACCGAAGTACTTTTTGATTGCAAATTTGATGTACATAAAATTAGGGTGACAAACTTTTTTGACTTTTCTTAATAGCTTTTTTGAAAATTGTATTTTTTTAAAAAACAATTTTTTTCATCGTAACCTATTTTTCTCCAGAACAACCTACTGTGCACTAGATAGCATTTTCAGTCAGCTATAAGATAAGAATAATAAAAAAATTATTGACATGTCACTTTAAAAGGAAAATTTATATTTTAGTTCAAAACACAAATACCAAACTTTTTTTTACCGTGCATATTTTCTCCATATAACACCAACAATTGTCTAAAACTTCGCCCAAGACACCAAACCAATCGGACAAACCGTTTCCGAGATACAATTTTTTGAAGATATCATGTGCATTTTTCATAGGCCCTTCTCATAAGTAAGGCTAGATTCAAAATGGCGAACCAAGTATGCAAAACGGCGTTTTTCTTCCCCAAACACTTGTATGCAAGGTTTCATGCAAATCAAAAAAGATGAAAATTACTCGTTGCTTTAATGATATGGAACCGCTCAACTGTCAAATCAAAAGCTTGACAGTGTTAAATTTAAAAGTGTATTATTTTTTATTCAAACTAAACTTTCAACATAAAAGCTTTGTATACTTATATTGACATATGTGCCGCTTTGATTTAAATATATAAAATATGTTTAATTTAAATAAAAGCATTTTCAACATCAAAATATCATTTGTCATCTTTTTTATTGTATACTGAATATCAAAACTTTTAAATAACTGTTTTTATTTTTCAATGTAAAATATTGTTAACATTACCTAACATAATGATATGTATCCATATCGACGAACCCATGTGTCTTTCAAATTAAGCTGCAAACCCAACATACTGACAGATGCCTCAAACTGACCATTTCCCTGCTGCTGTTGTTTCCTGCGGGACTCCTCCATTACATAGATAGCAGCAGTGTTTGAGAAATGTACAGTTGCTGTTGTTTATGCTGTTCAAACGCAGGGTGTTCAAGAAGTAGATAACTTCCTCCAGCAGGTCCGATCACTACAGCTTCCTGGCTTGGTCATATGAGAATGAAATTGACTAAAATCAAATAAAATCACGTTGTACATGTATGCTTGCGTGTTGAAGGAAATGATGCATCTACCTGCTGGCAGCGAAGAGCGATTCGCAAAGCCCATATCCGACAGAAGCACCCCTTGACCGATTGTGTTGAAACTGTGCATGTAATGCAAGCTTCATGCCATTCGAGATGATGTATCAAGTGCTAACAAAATTACAGTGAACAAATGTGCCGTTGCATAATTCATCCTGAAAATATGATAAAGTTTGCTCAAATATTCGGCATAAATCGCATTTGTGCTTACACAATAACGAGTTCGGTGTCTCAAATTTACTCCAGTAGAGCTGATCAGACTTCCAGGGAAACTCAACTGACTCGGGGACCGGTCCCACCGTTTGGGACAAATCAATGTCCGTCATGGTGAGTTCATCCAAACATCCACCAAAAGCAACTGGTGCGGACTACGTAGACCACGATCCTTCGCATCCACGCTGTGACTTGACGACCGGCTTGGTCAGTATAAGTAACGAGCATTCCAGTTTGCTCAATATGACTTGGATAGCAGAACCAATCCGGATTAACGTTCCATTAGTGGTACTTACGGAAGCGATAAAACTAGGGTGAAAAAGTAGCCTGAAATTGTGCAGAAAAATCATGTAATCAATCAAATTTATTGGATCCAACAAAAACTCAATAAAATTTTAATAACCTTTACAGGAACAATAACATTTTTTTCTAAATGTTCACGCAAACCTTGAAAATGGTAGCAGCAATGCTAGATTTCAAATAGTATATATATTTTATTTTGCGAATTTTTTTTTTTTTTTTTTTTTAACTCTTTGTTTGTTCCAAATTCAAAATAAATTACATTTCATTTTTAACCTAGGTGCTCCAGTTACTACAGTAACTTATCAGCCTTAATTGTTATGATATATATCTAAGTGTTTTTACATTGTTCCTGTCTTGGCAATTCAGTATTTTAAACAGGTTTTTTAAACCTGCATGTCAGTATAACAATTGATAGCTTAAAACTAAAAAAACTAAAACTAAATCTTATCTAAGTATAAAGGGAATTAATCGTTGCAATTGAGGATTGTAACGATTTTTGCCGGAAATTATTAATTATTTTGTTGGACATTTGTGCTAAAGTCTCAACATTCGAAATTCTATGTACTTCGGTAGTACTGTACCAGGGAGGCAACTTCAAAATCATCTTCAGAATTTTGTTCTGAATCCTTTGAAGTGCTTTTTTCCTGGTAGTGCAACAACAAGACCATATTGGCACAGCGTAAAGCATGGCCGGTCTAAAAACTTGTTTAAATATTAGAAGTTTATTCGTCAGGCAAAGTTTGGATTTCCTGTTTATAAGAGGATACAAACATTTTATATATTTGTTACATTTGGCTTGAATGCCCTCAATGTGATCTTTAAAAGTTAATTTTTGGTCAAGAACTAATCCAAGATATTTCACTTGGTTTGACCAGGAAATTGGAACTCCGTTCATAGTGACTATGTGACTACTACTAGGTTTCAAAAAGGAAGCTCTGGGCTTATGTGGAAATATTATAAGTTGAGTTTTGGTAGCGTTGGGAGAAATCTTCCATTTTTGTAAATAAGAAGAGAAAATATCTAAACTTTTCTGAAGTCTGCTGCAAATAACACGAAGACTTCTTCCTTTAGCGGAAATGCCTGTGTCATCAGCGAACAAAGATTTGTGGCAACCCTGAGGCAAATCAGGGAGGTCCGAAGTGAAAATGTTATATAATATAGGCCCAAGAATGCTACCCTGAGGAACTCCTGCTCTAACAGGTAGTCGATCAGATTTGGAATTTTGATAATTTACCTGCAGAGTTCTGTCAGTTAAATCATTTTGAACTAATTTCATAATTTTTTTTTTTTTTTTTAATAATTCGTTTATTTTTCCAGGCTCATTTGCTGTAGCTTTGCGGAGCCGATATTCATTGTTTAGATAACAAAATTACTTAAAACTAACGTTAGTAAAGCGGGGGCCGATTACTCGCGGCTATCTCGAGGTTAGGGGTAACAAATTGTAACAAATGGATGGCAGGGTAGGGATTGTGAACACAAGGTTTGGAGAGCAATGTGCTCTTGATCTCGAACTAGGCGACACTCTGATGAAAAAGACAAACATGGGGGTACACCGATGGGTAGCTAACAACTTGGGAAAACACAAGATGACACTAACTTCTAAATCCTCAAATCTATCCGTTTCAAAAACACATAAATTAAATTCAAATAGTCAAGGTCTCGGGTCGCCAAGACATCTCTAACGGGTATCGCGGGTTGTTTTCCTCGGGCCCTGAGGGATGTGGATAACTCAGATCTGGCAACACGGTGTAAGGTACACGACCAAACAACATGCTCGATATCGTGATAACCTCTGCCACACGCACATAAATTGCTGCCTGAGAGCCCAATTCGATAGAAGTGCGAGTCTAACGAGCAGTGATTGGACATAAGCCTTGATATAACGCGTATAAAGTCGCGGCTCATGTCCAACCCTTTGAACCATGGTTTGTTCGACACCTGTGGGAGAATAGAATGTAACCATCTTCCCAATTCACCATCATTCCATTTTTGTTGCCAACTGATGAGGACTTGCTGACGAGCAATGGAGAAAAATTCGTTGAAGGCGATTTGTCGCTCAAAAATATCGCCTTCCATAGCGCCCACCTTAGCCAATGAGTCCGCTTTCTCATTACCCGGAATTGAGCAATGAGATGGGACCCAAGCTAAGGTGATAGTATAGGAGCAGTTAGATAAAGCACTCAGTTTAGATCGTATTTCAGGCAGGAAATACGAGGAGTGCTTCATCGGCCTCATTGAACGAATAGCCTCCAATGAGCTAAGACTATCCGTAAAAATGAAATAATGGTCAGAAGGTAGTGAGGCAATTCGCTCTACTGCGTAAAATATAGCTGCGAGTTCCGCAACGTATACGGAGCATGGTTTCTGCAGTTTATAGGAGGCGCTATGAAATTGATTAAATACACCAAATCCAGTGGAAGCATTTATGGTTGACCCATCTGTGAAAAATCTTTTATCGTTACTTACATGGTGGTACTTGATTGCAAAAATTGAGGGAACAACCATCGACCGATGGTGATCTGGTATTCCATGGATTTCTTGCATCATGGTCAGATCAAAATTTACAGAGGAACTATAGAAGGCTTGGAAGCAATCACGATTGGAGATTAATGAAGAAGGACCAACCTCCAGCGTCATGTACTCATAGTACAAACTCATGAATCTTGTTTGAGGATTTTGGTCGAGCAGCTTCTCAAAGTGTTCTATTACCAAAGGATTCAATACTTCACAACGGATAAGGAACCGGAAAGACAGCTCAGCGAAACGATCTGTCAGTGGGAGAACACCCGCGAGTACTTCGAGGCTCATCGTATGCGTCGAGTGCATACAGCCAAGCGCGATTCGGAGGCAACGGTATTGAACTCGTTGCAGCTTCAAGATATGTGTTTTCGCCGCGGATTGAAAGCAGAAGCTACCGTACTCTAGAACCGACAAGATGGTTGTTCGATACAACCTGATAAGATCTTCCGGGTGTGCTCCCCACCAAGTTCCGGTAATTGTACGAAGAAAATTGATTCTTTGTTGGCATTTTTGTTTTAGATACGCAATATGTTTTCCCCATGTGCATTTGGAATCGAACCAGACACCTAAATACTTGAAAGATATACTTTGAGTGATTGTTCTACCCTTTAGTTGAAGCTGTAACTGTGCAGGATGATGCTTCCTAGAAAAAACAACCAACTCAGTTTTCTCCGGAGAGAATTCGATACCCAGCTTCATAGCCCAAGTAGACAAATTGTCTAAGGTATCTTGCAATGGTCCTTGCAGGTCCGGTGCACTTGGCCCTATAACGGACACAACGCCGTCATCTGCAAGCTGCCTTAGCGAGCAATTTTCATCAAGACAACCATCAATGTCTTTAACGTAAAAATTATAAAGAAGGGGGCTTAAACATGAGCCCTGGGGGAGACCCATGTAACTAATTCGTGAAGTTGTTGAGTTTCCATGAGAAAAGCTCATATATTTCTCAGACAACAAGTTGCTCAAATAGTTGTTCATAATTGGTGAAAGCCCACTATCGTGGAGTTTATCCGAAAGGACATCGATACAAACAGAATCAAAAGCCCCCTTAATGTCCAAGAAAACTGAACCCATTTGCTGTTTTTGCGCATAGGCCAGTTGAATTTCAGTTGAAAGCAACGCAAGACAGTCGCTCGTTCCTTTGCCTCTCCGAAATCCAAATTGCGTATCTGAAAGTAAACCATTCGACTCGACCCATTTGTCTAGACGAAAAAGAATCATTTTCTCCAACAATTTCCGTATACAGGACAGCATCGCGATGGGACGGTACGAGTTATAATCCGACGCGGGTTTACCGGGTTTTCGAATGGCGATAACTCTTACTTGCCTCCAATCATCCGGAACAATGTTGTGCTCCAGAAATTGATTGAATAAGTTCAACAAGCGTCTCTTCGCGACGTCTGGGAGATTTTTGAGCAAGTTGAACTTGATTCTATCCATTCCTGGAGCTGAGTTGTTACATGAGAGGAGAGCAAGTGAGAATTCCACCATCGAAAACGGAGAATCTATTTCGTTACTACCCGACGGACTATCACGAACGTTGGTTTGAACCGACACCGAATCCGGGCAAACTTTCCGCGCGAAGCTGAATATCCAACTGTCTGAGTACTCCTTGTCTTCGTTGACCGGTGATGACGCGTTGCGCATTCTCCTGCCGACATTCCAGAGTGTTCTCATGGAAGTCTCTCTCGACAAACCATCGACGAACCGACGCCAGTAACCGCGTTTTTTGGCTTTAATCAAGCTCTTAAAAGTTTTCTCGAGGTCGGTGTACCGCTCGAAATCCTCGACCTTACCGTGTTTGCGGAAACGTTTAAACGCGGCGGACTTCTCGCTGTTCGCGTCGGTGCAATCCTTATCCCACCACGGAGTGAGAGGTCGTTTGCGAACGAAAACACCCGGAACGCGTTTCGTCTGTGCTTGAAGAGCGCAGTCAACGATAAGTCGCGATAAAAAGGAGTACTCATCCAGCGGAGGGAGTATCTCAACCGAATCAGTACCACCGAGAACCGCGGACGCAAATTTTTGCCAGTCGATGTTTTTCGTGAGGTCGTACGCGATGTCAACCGAGCGAGTGGAAGATGAACCATTGGTAATAGAAATTTTGATTGGCAAGTGGTCACTACCGTAGGGATCTTGAATTACTTTCCACGAGCAATCCAACGATAGTGAACTCGAACTGAGGGAGAGGTCTAATCTACTTTCTCTTGCTGGAGGTTTGGCCACTCGTGTTACTTCCCCAGTGTTTAGAATTGTCATATTGAAGTTATCGCAAAGGTCGTATATCAGGGTTGAGCGGTTGTCATCGTACAGTTCCCCCCAGCCTGTACCGTGGGAGTTAAAATCTCCTAATATCAACCGAGGCTCAGATAAAGCTGAGCAGATATCTGAGAGACCTTGGCGAGAAATCGCAGTTCTTGGAGGAAGATATACTGAGGCAATACTGAGGCTTTTACCTCGAATATTTA